AGCACAGATTTACTGGGAGGTTCCAAGGTCTCTGCTACAGACCTGTTCACATTTTAGGTCTTTGGCTCTGGATCTGAATGATGGCTTGTGTCAGCAAACTGATAAAGGGATTTTAAGTTTTACTGAAGTGGTTGCCCTTAGTGTCTTGCTTTTCCACACTTTTTTTTAAGAGTTAACAGCACCATCCTTGAATGTACACCTATTTTGCTCGTAGGGATACCATGGTTTTAAAATTATCTTCAATAATCCCTGCAGGCAGGTCAGTCTTCCATGACCATTCCTCCAAATTGACAGGTCATTACCATCAATATGGCTTCTAACCTTGTTTTTGGACATTTAGTGTGCCACCTGCTTCAGGACCCCATCATTTCTGTTCCTATGAAAAACCTGTTTCAAGGTCCATCCCTCCAGCCATCATAGCAACTTGCAGGTGAGAGGAGCTATCACCTAACTCCCAAGTGATACTGGTGGCTCTCTCCTGTCAAAGCTGCTGATGGGCTAAATGAATGGTTTCATTATGATTTTCATGGGCCCCATTTTGCCTAAAATATGTTAAAGTCCTACCTTTCACTGATATAAAGACAACACACTATTATCTATCAAAACCTCAAGTATTACTGGATCTGAACATAATGCCCACTGTGTCTGAGGACTAGTTGGGTCAAGTTCAATGCGTTCTTTGGGTTCTACCCTACAACATAACTCTTGGGGAGCAAGGGCAGGAGTCTGGCCACACATTTGCTTCAGCGTAAGTATGACACTGAGCTTTTAAATTTTCCTCCACAGTATGCCAGGCAACTCATTTACTGTACTTTGTTGAATACCCTGGTCACGTACCAAATAATGTCTCCACTCTATTTTCCAGGGTTTCTGTTTTTAATACCAAGATTTCTTAGAGTAAAATTTGGTTCAATAAATACTATTTTCAAAGTCAGCAACTTTCCAAACATTTGAAAAATTTGTTGCTGATTCTTAAATCTAAGTACGAAATTATGAGTTGGCTCAATAATGTTCACTCTCCCACTGCCAGAAGTAGGTCTTTAATTTGAAGACACTTAACTTCTAACTGCCCACCTGTAGTTTCTCACTGTTCCATTGCTGGTCAGTGGTCTCTAACAGCCAATCCCACTGAACTTTTTTCCAATAAACCTTTCAAATACCTGAGTATTAAACCACTCTTGTACAAACTTTGAGATCCTCTAGAAAGCAAATATTAAGGTGAAGTTACAAGTGGTAAAATATATTTATAAAAATGACTGGAAGATAAAGGTGAGGAATCAGAAATAATAAAGGCATTTATCACAATGCAGAAGTGACACCTGTCAAACTCAAATGGGGAGAGACAGGCAAGGGCCTCAGACTTCAGGGCAGCCCAGGTAGACTGGACCAATCCAACAGGAGCTGAAGTAAAAAGATTTCTCATATAGAATGCTGGGCTGAAACGTCTCTATTCTCTTCCTGGTCCATTCCCAGCCCATGCCTGATCATTGACTATAGGAGCCATGAAAACCATCATTGAGCATAAGTATCTCTCAATGTACTACAGCACAAGACTGACTGCAATCCTAGAGACATTTTTTTCAAAACATCCTAAACATGTACTCACATTGTTGCCGCATGGTCATCATTTAGAGCTGGGTAGACGCCAGTGCAATCACAGCTGATATATTGGAGTTATCTACTCATAGGCTTAATCAGGTCCCTTGTTCCTGCTATTTGGAAGACTGTTGCTGAGTCAGCTTGATCTTTTGATTTGAATGCAACCCCACACCTTAGATTGCCTTATTACATCAAGGAACTCTCTGATATTGCTGTCACACGGGCCTAACAATCTAAGTAACGTCCCTTAATTGTCTTTTCAAAGATGAGTTAGGACTTTATACTGCATTCCTTATCTTCTACATACTTTTCAGCTTTTTTTATCTGCAAAATTACAAATACTGTTGCTATGTATTAAAAGCCATAAAATCTTCTAAACATGGCTAAATAGTATACACGTTAAAGCCCTAGATCAAATGTTATTTTCATTGTTTAGTTCAAAATAGCTCCATTTTTCATTATTTCCTTTTAACTCATTAATTTTCAAATTTTTATTTACTTTAAAAGAAAGAAGGGCTCACTCCCCAAATACCTGTAATAAGCCTTAGCTGGGAATGGCCCAAAGTTGGAGCCCCAAACTCAGTTTGGGAATTGCACGTAGGCAGCAAGGTCAAGTACTTGAGCGATCAACTTTCACTTCTTGGTGTTTACATTCACTAGAAACTAGAATTGGAAGCAGAGCTAGAATTTGACGCCAAGCATTCTGGTGCAGGATGTAGGTGGCCTAAGTGATATCTTACCCATTGTGCCAAGGCACATCCTTAATTTATTATTTACTAAAGACTCCAAACATCTGGGGTTGTTCTCATTTTTTTGTTTCTTAATACTGATTCTTAATATTAATGAAACCAAACTTTAATCCTTTAAAATTTACTGAGATTGCTTTGTGGATCAATTTTACCTTAAATAACTATAGTTTCTGGGTGCAGTGTCTAATATATATTCCTTATGTCATTTTTGCTGATCATTTTGTCCAAATATTCGATACTCACTAATTTTTAAACTTTCTTCTTCCATTACCTATGAAAAAGAAGTGTTCCATCAACTACTGGAAGTAGACTTTTCTATTTTGCGTTGGTTTTCTAACATGCTTTTTTGCTCTTTGGAGTTACAGCCAAAATCAAGTACTTACAAATTTAGAATGAAACTATTAAATAGACTTTGACAATTTAACAGTGGGTTTTCCACTATTGTGTCTGTATCTAAATGCCATGATTATACTTTAGTAGAACGCTAAGCTTGTAACTGTTACTCAAGTATCATACTATCTTGATAATATGGGAGTAAAATGGTGGGAGGGAGGAAGCAGAATAGGAGGGGTGGAATACCTACAAAACTGAATCATGTAAACAATAGTAATTTCAAAAAGCTTAAAAATCTCTAGTGATGCTCTTCCTTGGCATCTCTGTGTAAAAACAATAGCAGCACCAACTCTTTACCATTTGTATAATCTCATCATGTTGTCCCCTCATTATTGACAAAATCCACCTTCTCATTCTGTAAATGTTTTCTAAGTAGAAACAATTTTGGCAGTGGGGGATGGGGAATTTTGGGGCAGCCAAATTCTTAGGATGTCTGCATTCCATGTGGCAGAATCCAGGTTCAAGTCCAGGCTCTACTTAGTTTCAGCAGGTGATGGCTCATTTACTCACATTCCAGTCACACAACAGATCTATAGTCCCTATGTCTGTTCCAGCTGAGGGTGTTGGGGGCATCTGGAGAGTGAAGCAGATCAGATCTCTTTTCAAAACAAGAAACTTTTCTTTTCTCCCCAAAGCCCCTCTATTTCATCTGATCTTGCTAAACATTCTAAAAAGCTTGATTTTTATATTCGTTAGTAAAATTTCCCCATAACATTGCTAAGTTTGCTTATTAAGATTATGCTAGATAAAATTCATTTAGAACTTTTTCTCTATTTTTCTTCTACTGAAGACCCCATATAACACTATTTTTTTTTTTACTATCATCTGCAAAATTATGTGACCCTACATGTGTGAACTTTGAAATTACAAGTCCAGCAGCAGAACTCAGATATATTTGTAGTTCCTACTCTTCACAAGTTTTAATGTTATGCTTTTGGGGGGGATTTTTTTACTTCCCTCCACACTTTCAAATATATTGGCATCAAGTTTCTAACACTTCCCTTTAGCTTTTTTGTAAGCTTATTTTTGAAGTGGTCTCTGTAATTTCATTTTGCTATGGTCTATTAAATCTAGAAAAAATCAATGTCACTGTTTGGGTTGAAATGCACCCTACCAAATTTTTGTACTATTCTTTCTGTTCTTTCTCTTGACTAAGCATTTCATTTATTAATTGTTTTCTTTTTCTACTGGCTTTTACTATTAGTGTAGCAGCTATACCAAAATTGTTTCTCACTAAGCAATCTAACTTTCTTCTTGGGTAAGGACTTACCAGTATTAACTCTAATTACATTATTTCCAGCCCACAGGCCTTCAACTCATATTCAAACCCACACAATATTTTCACATTAGAATGTAATTTACCCACATACTTAAAATTTGTTGCTTTTCACTCATACCTATCAGGATTGCATCTGGGAATAGTTTTCTTTTGCTTAAAAAAAATTTCTATTTTCCCATACCAATCCTTACTGCTGACCCCCATTGCTGTTTTATCATGGTATGATTATCTTGAAAACTTCTGTAGTTACTAACTACTTTGCATTTGAAAGATTCTTTCAGACACTGAATTCTATTTTAAGGTCCATTTCACTGCTTCTTATTCCCTATGATTTAAGAAAGCAGCTTTAGGTCAGACTTCTGAGAAGGTAATTCTCTCCTGGTTGTTTAGTTTTGTTTTTGATATGCTTTTCTTTTTGTGTGGAATTAAGCATTTCTGAATCAAGTCTCGTAACAGAGGTGACAAGATCTCATTTTTTTTTTACAGATGTTTTGGTTCTTGTCCACCTACATGTGCACATAAGCACAGTCACTCTCCTTGACAACTCCTCCAGAATTTTGCAAAAAAAAAAAAAAAAAAAAAAAAAGAAAAGAAAAGAAACCCTAGAGGCAAGTGGAGCCAAGATAGCCTCACTTATCTGATGGTCTTTTAAATTGGTTCTTGTACACAGTATTATTTTTTCTAGATATCCTCAGTTAGAGGGTTGGTAAAAATCACCTTATGTTATTCTCAGTGTGAAATGCTTATTATCTGAACTCATCTAAATTAAGTATGTAGGAACTGGGTTTTCTAAGAAATATAGCAAGTTTGAGAAGGATAAAGATGCTTGGGGAACTGTGATTTTACCACAAAACTTGTTATCACCAAATGTGACTTAAATTCTATTTGTTCTTACCTTCTCAGTAACTTTTATCTCCAGGGGCAAAAAAAATCTAGATGGTGGGAATAATTATGAAGTACAAATTCTGACAGTTTGTTACAAAGTGCATACAGTGCAGGTCTACAAACTATTAAAAATGACTAACCTATAACTGCATCAACAGTAATTTGAAGGTTTCTAATTGTATATAGTTAGTGATACCAGTTAACTAGGCAAACATCACAGGACTTAATTAGGATAAGAACAACATAAGATTCAGTGGCTTTCCCCACCATCTTCCTTCAGACATGGAGATAAAACCAATATTCTATGGGGAAATATGGAAACATGCATGAAGTTCAAAAGGATGGCAAAGATTCATTCCCCCAAAGTTCAAGTAGTACTTCATAAATACCATGGTATGTGCATCACATCAAATGATGGGATATAACTGACATTAATGTTTAGGCTTTGAAGAACAACAGATGCTGTCATAAGAATATGATTCTAAAAAATACTCCCCTTCCTTTATTAAATCTTAGAAAATTTTATTTTCAAGTACTTTGATAAACTGAAAAAGCTGAAGGAACTTAAAGAGTTCAATTAAAAATTAAAAAAAAAACATGTCCCATACACATCAAAACAAACTGTTCACCCTACGAATTAGCTAACTTAATGAAAAATAATTAAATCCAAGATACACAAAGATTGAAGTCAAAGAGAACTCACTGGTAATCAAATAACTTGGTAACATACACCCATAAAGTTCGGCTTAATATTCACAATGTATTGAAGAAAAAACAAAGGTATTATGCTCTTTGATGTTAGCATCTCTGCTGTAAGTAGGATAGGCTCAAAAACATTTCCAGTGGCTTAAAGCAATGTGTAACCATTCTTCGAAATTCAGGTCCAGACAAAACCTGAGTCTTAGAAGTCTGTGCACTATCTTACTTCTACTCACCATTTTTTGTAAAGAATCCAGTTTTCATCTATATACAACCAGAGTAAAATTTGGCTCTTCTTTTGTGGTAAAGGGAAAGCTCAATAAAATACATCTCCTTAATTGAACTTTTGTATTAACATAAATTTTAATTTTATTTTAAATATTTTACTTGAGGAAAAAAACCCCTGATTTTTACCATGAAGTGGTAAAAACAGAGGCATCTATTAACTTAAAATTACACAGCTTCTTAATGTTTTATTTATAACATTTATACATTAGAAGCTCCACTGATATTTACTGCAGCATCCTGTGGGTGAAGCACAAAAATTACATTAATTATAAACAAGGAAAACAAAGCACTTTTGACTTTTTAAAGTTATATATATATTTATATCCAGTTGACAAATAGCATCACAATTATTACTGTATAAAAAACTAAAAATCACCATGGAAGCTAAGGCCTAAGTTCTTTTTCCAATTATTCCCTTTGTTTATATCTAAGAGATATTAGAAATTAGATTCCAGTACCTTAAAAAAAAGTCTACATTATTTACATACAGTATGGAAAATAAAAGCTGCTTTTTGGCTAAGTTAAATTGCAGTTACCTACAGTATTTACATTGTAAATGTCAGCGGGGAAATTACTAACAAATACCATTTCAAATGAAATTACATGGTGCTGGGAATTTCACTCATAATTGTGTATTCTAACAAGTATTAAATAGAATTTTACTTTCTAACAAATTCAGTACTATGCTTCTTTATATTGCTAATTTAGACACTGTAAGTCCAATATTGTAATTCCTTTAAGCACTGACCTTAAGGAAAACAATGGAACGTGTGAGGATGGAATTTTAACATTATAAAATATGCCTTAATGTTTTACTCATACTTATGAGACTATTTAGTACTCTTTTAATCTTTTAAGAAGTCTCATACACACTCCTCTTCCAGTAACTAACCAGGAAAAAACAATCACTCTGTTTTCAGAATTTTCCTAACATTTCAAAGCATGCCTAATCCCTTAACAAAAACAAAACAAAAGAAAAACAATTTGGTATAACCGACTGAGCTTTAAGCCGTACTTTAATTGTCAGTAACTAACCTACTGGTTAACTGAACCAAATTAAGAATATTTAGATGACTCACTATAGAGTGAGTCAAATCACTGATAAAATGCATAGAAAGTAGAGTTAAATTTTGAGGACAGTGCAAGGCGGTTGATGTGGAAAATGGTAAATGCTAGTTTTAATAACAGAAATGGTAATAAATGCATATGAATGTTAAATTAACACAGTATAAAAGAGAACAGTTTAAATAAACTGGGATTCACATATTACAATAGCAAAGTTATGACAGAATGAACTGAAGACACGAACAATTCTGAAAATTGTCTTTTCAGTCTACTTCCAACAGAAATAGTCAGGCTTTTTTCCTGTACATAGTTTGATGCTTTGTCTATACCATATATAGTAGAAAAATAAATTCTTTAGCAACCTAGAAACAGTTTATAAAACTCTTAAAGTTTAATTTTCTTTACCAGACATGCCAATGTTAAACTGACAGCTATAAATTAAAGCTATACAGACAATAGGTTTAAGCAATATAGAACAAGTTAAGAATACTACTTTACCAGGTTTTTTTTTTTTAAATCACTGTACTTTCTTAATTCCTGTGTGCTTTGCAATAGGAATAATAGGGATTTTATTTTCTTAGAAAAGATAATAACATGTAAGAGTATAACACAAATAAGATAATTTATAATATACATGTACTTCAACAGCAGCCTGGTTCATGTCGACATCTTGCCTCTCAAGTTAAGAATGGAAGTGTAACACCTAGGACTTAACAGTTGGGAAAGAATATTTTAGGAAAAAATGGAGTAAATCAAACTCTTAAGAGCCTTGAACCTCAAAATTATCTATTTACTATACAATACACATAATAATCTGAAAACTTCAGTATGAATGAAGACTACAACATCAACCAAAGAATTTTTGTCTTTAGTGCTCCAAATATAATCTATAAATGGAAAACAAACCAATTATTTCCCTTTCCAACAAAAAATGGCATGGCTTGACATTTAAAAGAAAAATAATTGAAGCCTAACAAAATTTATCTGCGCCATCTACTCTGAAAATTCTGTTCATGTTAGTATTCTGGTCACATTTTCATCAATAAAAAGTTTAACCCCCAAAGTAGTGGTCATTTAGAGCAAATCTGGTACCAATAACAAAGGAAAAAGCTAGTTAAAAAATGGTAATACAACACATCACAAGAATATGCATACAATTTTGTGATTTTATATATATACACACTCCAAAGAGTTTGTCAGTACCCAAAGTATTTTTATTGCTATATTAGCAATGAATTTTTCTGGATATGTTTTTAAGGGCCACAGAAAAATAGATTCAAGGAACAGATTAAACTGAAGTCCTAGATTAAAATGCTTGGTTTAAAGAATTTTCTACAACAAATTTCATGTTTATGTATGAAAAGTTATAGAAACTTATATGAAACTGTCATGAATTATTTTCTACACTATACTAAATGTATTCCCCAAGAGGGAATAAATTAAAATATCTAAAATATATTAGATTAAGATTACAAGACCATCATAGATCTTCTGAACATGCATCTGTTTACAGAATTAACCGTGTACAAAATGTTTATTTCTTTTTGGACCACAAAGAAACAACTTGGTGGCAAGTATCCTTTGCACAACATTATCAACTAACTTTAGCCATAGCTTGCTCTTGAGTGTGAAAGAAACAGATTCATTTACTCCTCATCAAATCATCCAAAGGTTGATTCAGATGAAGGTGCAGAAATGTGGAATATGTTAAACGTATTTCTTCTTTCTTTCAAATAACTTCCCAAGCATTGTCTAAGTAGCCTGAAATTATAAAATACTTCACTGGGCTTTTAGTTATCTACAACTCTAGAATGTAAATTAGGTTGTCCAAATTAGCACATCAAATAACAAAACCAGCCATAAAGCAGGCTGAAAGGATTAAATGTTTTCATATGAGTTTTTAAATCATTTAATTTCTATAGAAAAATTTTATTCACAATATAATGTGACAGAAATTGCCACAGAAATGATATACTGATTGCAATAAGGTTGCATGCAGCAGCAGCTTTGTATTTTATAGCTATTTTTGTTTATAAAAATTAAACCTCTCCAGTCATGCTTATCACATGGTCTTAGATTTTTGTAATGTAAGTGAATGAATAAAGAATATCATACAGTTCAAAGAGAAAATGTCCCATCATTTTGAATCAGTTATCTGTATGAAACATGAAGTACACTACTGAACCCTGAAACATGCATGTCTAGATTTGCTTTTGTTCAATTTCAAGCTGTCTGCAATCACTTCCTACTTATATAATACCAAGAGGGTCCGTCTGTAACTGTGGTTGTATCAGCTGAGGTTGTAATGGGGGTGGTAATTGAAGAGGTACCATCGACTCCACCAACTGTCCTGGGTTTGAAGATGGTGGAGGAGCCACAGTGTTCACAGTTTCTATAATTTCTCCATTGTAAAAAAAAAACTGACACTGTTGAATAAACGTTTCAACAACAGATTGATGGATCTTAGTGGTAGACAGAAATTCTCGATTTTCAAAATCTGGTCTCATCAAGGTTGGCCAAAAACAGATGGATAAGTTGTCTGCTGTCATCAGGTTGATTTTATTTTGCTGACTAACCCTGAAATCATGAAAGAAAAAATAGCAATCAAAATTCATTATAATTACTGAATCCTAAGTTAAAGATATCTCAGATTATTTTTTCACCTTTAATCTTAACTTTAAATAAAAAAGCTATTATGCAATATTCAACTATATCCTAAAAACAGAAGACAGTAGTAAAAAGTGACTTCTTACCTGGGCTAAAAATGTATATTTGTGAGCCTTCTTATTCTTTTCTCTTAAAATGAGCAGCTTATGATTAATTTTAGTCAGTTTTCATAATATAATTAAGAAAATCTAACTGCATATCCAAATTCCTAGAATTCTTTGAGATAAAAAGCAGGGTATTCTATCTCAGAAAACTTTGGAAAGTTATTTTACCATCATCCAACCAGAGTAACTTGTAACTTAAATTTTGGTAGTTGGTAAAAATCATTAACCATGTTGCACATTTTTACAAAACTCATTTGAAGGGCTACATTTAGCTTGTAACACTGCCTATCTTAAAATTCTCAAGACTTAACTGTTTGAAAAGTATCTATTTTACTAGAAAGTCATAATGCCACAGGGAGGTTGGGGGAGAAGTAGATCTTCCATCAACTGGTTCATTCCACAAATGGCCACTATGGCCTTAGGTGGGCCAGTTCGAAGCTGGGCACCATGGTCTTCATCCGGTCTCTCATGTGCGTGCAGTGGCCCAAAGAAATTGTACCATTCTTTTTTGCTTTCCCAGGGCATTGTCAGAGAGCTGGATCATAAGTGGGGCAGCCAGAACTCAAATTGGTACCTATACGGGATGCCAATGCCAGGCGGATTAGCCTGCTACACCACACCTGCCCCAAGACTTAATAATTTATAAGTGGTCAGTCACATATTAACTGATTTTCACCTAGTTCTTTAAGTATGTGAGCAAGCAATTCTATAATAATTTCCAATAAGCAAGAACTATGGGAGTTAAATCTTAAGTATCAACTCAAATTGATTACACTGGAGGGAGTTTACACACATGGGAGAAAACAGTCTATAAGTGGGCATGTCAACTGCAGGGAAATCTTAAATTTACAGATCAAACATTTTTGTGTTGTAAACAAAGGAAAGTCCCCTCCAAGTAGATAAGTTGCTCCTTGAGGTAATATATATGATTTAAAAACATGTTTTGGGGGCATATAGGCGCTGATATGAGTCCTGGCTGCTCCACATTATATCCAGCTTCCTGCTATTGTGCCTTGGAGAACATGGGAGGATGCAAGTGCTTGGGTCCCAGCACTGTGTAGAAGATCCAGATGATGTTCCAGTATCCTGGCTTTAGCCTGGCCCAACTGTGGGCCATTGTGGTCATCTGGGAGAAAGCAGCAGTGGATGGAAGATCTATCCAACTCTCTTCTCTCTCTTTAATTAGACTTTGAAATAAATTCTATATATTTTTAAAATGAAATGGCAGTATGCTACCTGTGCAAAAAACCAGTAGTATTTTTATTTTTCTAAGATTATTTTTCCTGGGAAGGCAAATTCAAGGAGAGGAGAGACAGAAAGATCTTCCATCACTTCCCTAAGTGGCCACAATAGTTGCAGCTTAGCAATTCAAAGCCAGGAGTTTCTTTTGGGTCCCCCGCATAGGTGCAGGGTTCCAAGGCCTTGGGCCATCCTCAACTGCTTTTCCAGGCCACAAACAGGGAGTTGGATGAGAAGTAGAGCAGCCAGAACATGAACTGGTATCTACATAGGATACCAGGGGATACAAGGTGAGAACTTAGTTCACAAGGCCCATCGGTAACATTTGTAAAGAGAATAAATTTGAATACACAGAATAATAACATTAAATCAATCTTTTTTAGGAGTGGGGGACCTTTTTCCTGCTATGGAGCATTTAGATATTTATATCACAAATTGAGTGCCAAATAAAATTGTCAACTTAGTCATTAAGCTGCTATACATTCACTGAAACTTTAGGTCCTTCCTGTGGTTATCTTGAAATTGGCTGACTAAATGATTTCAAGGACCTAACACAGTAGGACATTCCCCTCCCCTGCACAAGGAGGAATGGAACTTTCACCCTGAGTTTGGTGCCAAGTATTGCCATAGTTAAGAGCTAGGTTCTGCAAACACTTATAAAACTGGAAGGCATATGGATAGGAATCAGGTCTAAAAAAAAGTCTTAAGTACAGAGAATAGGTACTAACTAGGTTAGAAACGAAAGGGAGGAGCTGACATTATAGCACAGCAAGTTAAGCAGGCATCCCATGATACCAGCTCCCATTATCAGAGCCCCAGATGCCTGGACCTGCCTTCTAATTCAGCTTCCTCCAATGTGCCTGATGGAAGGCAATGAATGATGGTTTGGGCAACTGGGATCCTGCCACACATGTGGAGTACAGATGGGAGTTCCAGTGTCCTGGCCTTAGCCTGGCCAGATCAGGTTATTGCCATTATTTGGAGAATAAACCAGCAGATGAAAGACTGATCTGAATCTGTCCCTCTTGCCTCCCCATGTGTGTTTTTCAAACAAACAAATAAATATATAAATGAAGGAAGGAGGGGAAGAAGAAGAGGGGAATAACTAGAGAAAGTTTTCTGCAAGAGGTATTATTTGAATATGGTAGGAATAGAAAATCAGTTAAAAGTTCTGGAACTTTTTCTTCTTGTTGTTTCTTTAAAGATTTATTTATTTATTTGAAAGGCAGATTCTAAAGAGACGAGGTCTTCCATCGCTGGCTGACCTTCCAAATGACTGAGTCGATCCAAAGCTGGGAGCTAGAGGTTCCTCTGCATCTCCCACATGGGTGCGGGGTCTCCTTAAGCCATCCTCCACGCCTTTCCCAGGCCACAAGTTGAGTTGGATGGGAAGTATAGCACCCAGGATATGAACTGGAAAGATCTGGTTCTTTAGCTTTTGTTGTAATTGCTAGCAGGCTTGTTGACATAGATTGCTGGGGAAGTAATATGATTTGTTCTGTCTGGGGTGCAACCTGGTCATCTGGATTCCTAATCGGTTCCCAGGTGATGTTAACTGTGCTGTTTTGAGGACCACATTTTAAGAACAACTGCTGTTGATGAGGTACTATGGCACAGGATGATATTTTGGTTAACTGCTATTATATAGTTTTAGTATTACAAAGCCTCGTACATGCACAGGAGAAAAGGGAGCAGGATGTAACAAGAAAGCAGAACCAATACCTTCAGTTTAGTTACACTTGAATGCTCCCTTAAGGAACAGGAATCATTTAAGTATAAGTAATCTTACAATCCATTCACTATGTGCTGAAGTTTGAATTTCATCTCAAGGTAACAGGATACATGCTTAAGTAATCTTTATAGAAATGTTTTAGAAAGATCACTCTTGCATCAACATCAAGGAAGGAAAAGTTGGCAGGGAAAAAGCTCAATTACAATGAAATCAGAGGTTCTAAAATGAAAACCGATCAGCCCCATTTAAAGCAATTATAAAGAAAAAGGCAATGTAAAAATAATCATGAGAAAAAAAAGTTGACAGTCACTGAATGGATATGTAGAGTGAAAGAGAATATAAACAAAAGGTAACTCCACAGATGAATTCTGGCAACCTTTGCAATTTGTCAGTCATCTGTTACATACTTATTTATTTATGTTCCTCCTCTATGAGCAGTAAGCTCCAAGAACTGAGTGGACTGTTCTGTTCACAACTATGTGCCTGGCACATACAGTATTCAGGGCTTTCAACAATTTCATGCAATTGATCATTGCTTCTAAAATTTGAATGCAATTATACTATTGCTTTGCTGTATTCTCCACCAGATCCCACACTGCTCAGAGCTAATTTAAGTCATGCAATGCTTCTTTCACTAAGTATGCCCCTCCCTAACAAAAACTGTCAACTGAACAATGCACCTCATAATGTGAGCTTAAGATTTTAAAACCTCCTTATCTTGTCAGTAAAACATTTAAAAGACTAAAGTCAGTACACAGGCTATCTTTTGACTAGTACTATTCTACAAGATCTAGTCCTGTCCCTCCTCCCTCTTTAATTTCATTTTTCATTATGACTAAAAATTAGGTTTCTTCATTGTTTCTCAAAGCAAGGTATTAACTTTTGGCTGCTATTTTACTGCCACAAGCAATTTTGGGACACAGTGTGCAAAATAACTGACAATGGGCAAGCACTGTGATTCTGATTATTACTGACCTTTGCTCCCTTTCCTTATATCTGTTTTACTGAGGTCTCATTTTCATTCCAGCCAAACAGTAAAATCTCCTACAGAACCCCATACATGTCTATTACCACACCACCAACCACTTGTATGGTATTGCATGTTGACACTCCAGTAAATATATTATAATATTATATATGCTAGAATTTTCATACAAGGGCATAAGAAATGTTAACACAACTATACAGATCACAAATAAAAGTGGTTAATACTATCATTTAAAAGGACTGACTTAAAGGTATTTGGTTTGGATTTGATATTAGTCAACAAAACAAATGGCAAGTAATTAAAAATGTTAGCAGATATTATGCAAAGCACTGTTTTGTAAATATTAGTAATAAATAGTAACAATCTCATTTAGGCCTCAGAACAGCCTTTGTGAACTATTACTCTCATTTCCATGGTTAGGCAAATAAAAATGTGGCTAGGGTAAGAGATTTAGCCAATGTTGCAGAATTAGCAATATTTCAAACAGGTTGAACCCAAAGCTGAACTTCTTATCATTGAAGAATGAATTAATGCATGAAAAATCTCTCAATCCCTCACTCCGACCTTGAATAAATAAATCTTAAAGAAAAAGGTTTACCATACTGTTTATATAATTATTACATATACAAATTTGTTTTTCAGGTCACTTCACCACATTAAGATAATAATTAGAGAACTATTAGTCAAAACAACTCTATACTTAGTTTGTAATCATATACTATAATTTTTCAAAATGATTAAAATATAAAATATTTGTATGATTTTTATATAAAATCATATACTAAGTTTATAAAACATTTTAAAGTTTGAAACATACAGTAACATTTTGTTTGCTAAACAAAAATACCTGTTTAGATGTGTTATCACATATCTGAATACATCGTAGTTTACAGGATGAAATTTCTTAACAATCTCTTTCAGTGCATGAAGACGCTCTGTTTTATCCAGGATTTCTGCAAAAGTACAACACTTTGTGTGAAACTCACATATTTAAATTTGATAAAGCTTCCTGCAAGTAAGAATGGGTTTGAAGCACATTAGGACTGGTAAACAAAATAAAAAACAGTGTTTCAAAGAATGTGATAAGCAATTTAAATTAAGAAATCAATCAACTAACAGCTTATTAACTTTATTATTTATCTTTTAGCCTTTTTAAGTAAAGGAAATTAGTGAAGATCAAAGCAACTCAGGACTGGTAAAACAGAATATGCTAGAAAATCTCATCCAATTTAAATAGCAAGCATTGATTTAGAATTAAGCAGTTACTTACTAATAGATCCTTTAGGCTCTTAATATTCATGCTACAGATGGTACAAATTCAGGCTTCATGGGCTCAAATATATTAAACCAAGTAATTACAGCAACACAGGAATAACCAACATTATTTAGCTAAGGCTGTGATCCAACAAAACTTTCAAAATTTGAATTTTGTATAATTTTGATAGTGCAAAAAGCCTTCCTAAAAACTAATGACAGGCAGCACATGGACCTTGGGTCAGTTTTCATACCACATGCACTTGTGATTTACTTCGCTTGTGAAAGTTATCCTTTCTACTAAGCCTAAGCACTTATTACTCTCCAGGTTTATTCAAATTACAAAGCATGGTAACTGAGATGTGTTCTTGAAGCAAGCAGGCAGTGTTTTCTTACTCTTCCATTTCATTTGGAGGTGCACGTTAACAACACTCTCAAGGTTATCTTGTAATCTGGAACTTCGACATCAGTCCATCACTCTCTAGGCTGGTCAAGGAATAAAATCTGAGGCTGGTGTTGTGGTACAGCACAGCTTCTGCTGTGACAGGTATCCATAACAGCTGTGCTGTTTTCAGAACCAGCCGCCCCCCTTCTGATCTGTCCCACAGTAATGCACCTGGGCAAGCAGTGGATGACGGCCCAGGTGCTTGGGTGCCTGCATCCATGTTGGAGACCCAAAAGCTACTCCAGCCACCAGTCTTTGGCACTGTGGCCATTTGGGGAGTCACACAGTGGATGGAAAACTTCTCTCCACCACGATTCCCCTCTACTGTCTTCCTCTAATTTTGCTTTTCTAATAAATAAAAACAAAATCCAATTTACACACGGGAGCATGAATAAAGCAACTCTATCTTCTGATAATATACTGAAATTGTTTTTAACTGAACAAAACAAACCTAAAATTTCAACACAATTAAACCTATAGTAAAGTAATTTCATTTAAAACAACTTTAAAAAGAAATATTAAAGATAAATATCTGGAAACCATATTTAATTTAGTTATTGAAGGGCAACATGGGTTACACAGTGGGTTACTTGTTACCCAAATAAGCCTTAGGTCTCATATTAAACATACAAAAGTACCTGGCATAGAAATACCGGAATTAGAGATGTCTAAACAGGAATAAATATCCAAAGAAGTATTAAGTTCTTGCATCAAAAATTACTTAAGATATGAAGCTAAAGTAAATTCTGACTTAAAATTTTCTGAAAAAAACCACAGGTAATCACCACTCACATATTAGTATTTCACTGAAATTACTGACACATTCATTAGAACAGTTTAGTTTTCCAATAATGCCTTTTCAGTTTGAATGAAAATCACTAACTCAAACTTCAAGTATTTCTAGGAGCATTTCAATTACCTGAGAAGCTTTTAAAAACTGAATATTCCCAAGAGTCTCTCCCAGACATTCTGACTTGTATTTGGATTAAAGGAAAATACTTAAATAAACACAGTTCTAGTTAGTTTAATTTTTGTTGTTACATATACTCCAAGTATGGCTGATTTTAATACCTAGCAAATAACACTAACCAACAAAACTACAAAATACCCAAAGAACTAAAATCCTGATATCACCTCTCTCAAAAAAGGGAGGGTTATACTTACTGGCAGCTTCCAATAACTCTGGATGAAGAGAATATGGAATTAAAGGATCTGGCAGATCTGCAAAGAAAGCTTTAAGAGCTCCAGCCACAGCATTTACTGTTACTTCCATTGATACTAGATTGATATTATGATCTACAAGGCAAAATTAAAAAATTAATTTACAAAGTTTTAATTTATCACAGGAGAAATAAGCTAATACACAAGTACTTCTAGATGGAAAGATACTGAAGTTGTCTTATTATTTATACATTAACAAGCCATGTAGATCATGGGAAAGAGAAGCAAGTAGAGTAAGTACTTCAGGTTATAATCAAAACTGTGATACAGCAGTAACATACCTCCCTCTCATCTTGGGAGTGCCTAGGTTCAAACACTGACTCCACTTCACATTCTGGCTTCCTGCTAATGCTAATGCATACCTTGGGAAACAGTAGATGGTGGCTCAAATATTTGGGTCACTCTACCAACATGAGAAACCTAAACTGAGCTCTTGGTCAGAGCCTCTGATACTGTTCAGTCTAAAGCTGTTACAGCAGTTTAAGCAGTAAATGGTTGGATTAAAAAAAAAAAAAAGACTGCCTTTTGGCCTCGAAATAATAAATATATTTAAAGTGTTGTAAGGCTTATTAGTACACTGAAGAATTCCAAGACTTATTTCTTTAATTCATTTTGTTTATAGTTCTTCCAAAGATGCTATAAAAAAAGGTAGATATACATCTAAATACTAATCTCGACTTTTCAAGTTTTATAATAAAACAGTTTTAAAGTAAGTAATTAGGCTTGGCGCAGTAGCCTAGTGGCCTAAATCCTCGCCTTGCATGCGCTGGGATCCCATATGTGTGCCAGTTCTATCCTTACTACACCACTTCCCTTCCAGCTCCCTGCTTGTGGCCTGGGAAGGCAGTCGAGGACGGCCCAAAGCCTGGGACCCTGCACCTCCCAAGGGAGACCTGGAAGAAGCTCCTGGCTTCAGACTGGCTCAGTTGTGCTTATTGCAGCCACTTGGGGAGTGAACCAGCATATAGAAAATCATTCTCTTTGTATCTCCTTCTCTATGTAAATCTGACTTTCCAATTAAAAAAAAATGTTTTTTTAAAAAAGAAAGAAACTGACAGTGATGTTCTTACAAAGTTAGGAATGGAGAGATGGGCACTCAGTGTGGCAGTTAAATACCACTTGGGACACTGTATTCTTGATTAGTGTTTGGATCCAAGTGTTGGGTCCACTTCTGACTCCAGCTTCCTACCAAGGTGTACCCGGATAGCTGCCAATGATGGCTTAAGTGGTTGGGGTGCCTATATTACATGTGCAAAATCTGGACCAAGTTCTCAGCTTTTGGTATCTTCCTGGAATAACGCTAGTTTTTCAGACACTCGGGAAATGAACCAGTGGATGAGAGACTTCATTCTAATTAGAAAACATTCAATGGAAATAGATACCCACATACACACTTGTATTTTTTCACCCAGGTATTCTTTATGACCATCTTCAATCTTTCATTACAAATGTACCTGAAGTTTTGCATTATCTATTCCCTTATAATTCTCCAGACCAGTGCCTTAAATAAGCAAATAATCAAAATAAACCAAAACAGCACCCCCAGCCCTAGAGTAATCAATAGAATTCTTGCTAACATAAAACACTCATTTCCTAGCTCCTCTGTACCCTTACTGTAGTATTTAATCCCACTTGGAAGTACTCTCCCCTCAATATCCATACATCTGTGAGATTTTCGAATGAAAAAATCAATCCTCCCATCGTGAGATTCCAATCAGAAAAACAAATTCATTTTGAGTAATCATCTTCTTACCTTGATCAAACTGCTTTTGAATATTATCTTGATCAGTTTTATTCCCACTGACACGGTATAGACCTTCAGTACATAACCCTAAGAAAATAAACATGCACGCTTTTATAAGCACATATACATTAAGAAATAATAATAAAATATCTAATTAAACAAATAACCTAGGGACTTACAAAAACATTATAGCAAAATATAGAAGATCCCTACCCTCTCTTGCAATGACCATCAGGGTCACTCCAGAGGCACACCCCTCCCCCCAAATTAGATCAGATAGACAGAGACCCATAAGAAAAGCTTAGAACAGACAGGAAGCGTTCAGCTTGGACACACATATATCTTACTAGGTAGGACACAAAAATTAGTTACTCCTCACCAAGGTATTGAAGATATCGCTGCACACCACTCCTAAAACTGTTCTGTGCCCCAATCATTAACATATGCCTCGTTAGAGTTATAAGCCTGTTTGGACTATCCTAATTTCAGCAAGTTCAGTAAAAATTATGCTTCAATACTATAAACTGCTAAATACAGAAATTAAAATAGACGAGACAGCTGAATAATACCCTATAACCATTTTAAGGTGTAGAGCAGCCTGTTGTGTATAAACTAAACTTGAAATGTTAATGAAGTAGTCACAGGATGTGGTTAAGAACTTGCATTTTCTAACATGCTGGTCCCTCAATAACATATCAATGAACTCTGTAATGTTGTAAATTGTTGTTGATGTTGTGGGAATCTCAGAGCCTATGAAACTGTGTCACAAAATGAAATAAAATAAAATAAACCTTTAATGTATAAAATAGTATAGTAATTAGCAAAGGAATGGAAACAACAAATAATGTAGAAGATTCTTTAGAAATTAAATGTAAAAACAGGCAAACATTAATGATTCAAAAGAATCAAAAAAATGGAAAATCATTTGTGTAAAACAAAAAAAACCCCATTCAACCCATTAAAACTAAGATTATTCTCAGAAATTCTGCAAACATTTCAACAACAAATTTACTTCAAAGTTAAAAAAAAAAGACTTATTTATTTTTATTGGAAAGGCAGATATACAGAGAGGAGGACGAGAGACAGAGAGGAAGATCTTCAATCTGATGATTTATTCCCCAAGTGGCTGTAATGGTTGGAGCTGCGCCTATCAGAAGCTAGGAGCCAGGAGTCTCTTCCAGGTTTCCAATGTGGGTACAGGGTCCCAAGGCTTTGTGCTGTCTTCGACTGCTTTCCCAGGCCACAAGCAGGAAGCTGGATATGAAGTGGGGCAGCTAGGATTAGAATCGGTGCTGGGATCCCAGAGCCACTAGGCTACCACGCTGGGACTGAGTATTTGATTTTTAAAAGATCTACTTATTTTTATTTAAAAGGCAGATTTTCACAGAGAGATTTTCAAAATAGTCACAACAATGGGAACTTAGCCCCTCTGGAGCTTTTTTCAGGGTCTCCCATGTGGATGTAAGGATTTGAGCCATCCTCTGCCACCTTCTCAGGTCATCAGCAGGGAGCTGAATCACAAGTGGAGGAGGTGGAACTTGAACACAGCAACACAGCTGGGTTCAAAAACCCATATCTATTGGGTCAAGCATATATATATATATATATATATATATGAAATAAGGTTTTTTAAAAAAAGATTTATTTATTTAAAAGGCAGAGTTAAGAGTGAAAAAGAAACTGATACGTAGTCACTTCCTATATAGCTGCAGGGCTCAGGGCCAGGCTCGCCTACGTGGGAGCAGGGTCCTATGCACTTGGGCCAGCTTCTGCTGCTTCCCTAGGTATATCAGCACGGAGGGTCAAACTGGAGTAGCCAAGACTCATAACCAAACTGACACCCACAAGGGATGCTGCTGCTGCAGGTGGCTCCTGAAGTATTTCTAAGCCAATTCTATAAAATATCAGTGAGCAACTACAAACATACCTGAAACAACTCAAATAGAAAAACAAAACAAAATCCCCAAATGAAACAGATTTCAAAGACTAAGTGAACTTGAAGATGTATCAACAAAACGTTGCAAAGTAACAAAAATAAATAGATTAAAATAATGAAGACACCTTCAGAACCATAGTGGATTACAGTAAGAAATCTAACTTCTTTGCTGTTGGCCAAAAGTGTAGACTATCTATGTTCACTGGTGTGGGAATCTGATAGAGCATTGTATTCCCTTAATTAGACAAACAAGAAAAGAACAGCAACAGAAAGGCAGATTCTATCTTATACCTGGGCCAATGTTAAAGCATTTGCGTGTAGTAACATAATCCCGCCCCATTTATCTCTGACTAAAATTACTCGGTCAACTTTTGTTCTATTTTGATTGCTTGTTTGAGGAGGGGAGAAAAGAGGGAAGTAGGAAGAGGAAGAGAGAGAAACAGAGAGAGACAGAGACAGACATTGGGTGAGATTTTCCAATTGTTGGTTTACTGTCCAAATGCCCACAGTATCTGGGCACTATGACATGGGATGCAGGCTTCTCAAGCAGTAACTTAACATGCTGTACCTCAATGATGCACCTCTATTTCATTCTTTACAGAGAAATGTTAAGGCTATCAAATGGAATCAAAGTCAATTTACAGAAATCTGTAAAGATAATAAAAAAGGCAAAATTTCATGGGGAGGAAATATCAAAGCTATAGTGTTTTACAGACAAAGCTAACACACACTACTTTATCAGATACTTGTGGATGTGAACAAAGAATCAGACACAGAATAATGTATTTGGGGACCTGGCAAGATGGCTCAGTGGCTAAATCCTCGCCTTGCATGTGCCAGGATCCCAAAAAGCCGTCAAGGATGGCCCAAAGTCTTGGGACCCTGCACCCATCTGGGAGACCTGGAAGAAGCTCCTGGTTCCTGGCTTAGGATTGGCTCAGCTCCAGCTGCTGTGGCCTGTTGGGGAGTGAACCTATATATCTGATTTTCCTATAAAAATAAATACATCTTTTAAAAAGTAGCATGATGTGTCTTTTAATAAAAATATGGATACAAATATAGACAGGTATACAAGCATGGCAATCAACACGCATTATTCATTCATTTCAGTTTTTTTTTTTTAAAGGATTTACTTTCAAAGGCAGAAAGTGAAAAGTATCTTCTACCCCCTGGCTCAATCCCTAAGTGGTCACAAGTCCAAGGCCCAGCTATGCCAAAGCCAAGAACTTATTGGAACTCTATATTGGTCTCCCATGTGGGTAGCCAGAGTGCAAAAACTTAGTTCATCTTCTTTTGTTTTCTCAGGTGCATTAGTAGGGAGCTAGATTGGAGACAGAGAAGCCAGTACTACAACTGGCATTCTCATAGACAATGCAGGTGTAACAGGCGCCAGCCTCCTTATTTTGGTGTCTGCATGCATTTCTTCCCCAAGACAAAACCAGGTCTTAGGAAAAAGAGTCAATCAAAGCTGGAAAGCAAAAGTATAATCAAGCTTGGTACACTGCATACCAGAGAGTAAACAACTTTTCTTGCAGAAATATGGAGGCGTATAATTACAACAACACAGAAGCAATGAAAGGCTCTTAGCTCAGACAACACAAAAAGACAGGCAGAACAATGGGTTCTATTCCAATAAACCTAACAACATAATCTAAACAAGTAAATAAGGAATCCAAAATTTGATGAAGAAATTTAGTAAAGATATTGTCAAATGTCAAAATTACCATCAATGATATTATTACGATCTCCACATATGAGGCATAAAGGACAAAACCACTTTGCAGAAACCGCACACACAAAAATGTGACTTGAATCTAATCAGGAAACACCAAACACGATTTTAGTAAATCAGCTTATATTCAAAACTGTCAATGTTTACAAAGACAAAAGAGATGGAAGAATTCTTTCAAATTGAGGGCATCAAAAAGACATGGTGACTAAGTGCAATACATACACTGAAGTTTAGATTTGGGGCTTCCTCTTCACCTTGTATCACACAAAAGCTTAACATCAAAGGATTCATGTGATAAAAGTATAAAGACTTGGACATACTGTAGATTAGATAAATAATTGCGTCTGTCTGTTTTTATGATTTTGATTACTGTGTTTTTGTCTAAGAATATTCTTATCTTTAAGGAAAAAGACTTTACAGATATATGGATAAACAACTTGATGCCTCAAAGTCTCTCAAACGTTCTCAAAATACCTACCAATTTTCTAGACTAAAATTTAAATACTTCTAGTCGCAAATATTTTATATAAGGGATATGAAATCTGTACCTGGAAAAGCATAATACACACTGTTCTATAGAATATAACTGAAAGTTCAGAAAAAAAAATAAAAACCTAAACAATACTTATGGCCAACTGATTCTCATAATGGTGTCAAGTCCATTTGATGAGAAAGAGTCTTCTCCAAAACTTGCTCTAAGCCATTAACATCCTCATGCTTAAGAATGATTGGAGGTCCCCACTTCACACCATATACAATGAACTCAAAATATATTAAAAACAAGCCAATCCCCAAAGGATAAATATCGTATGTACTCTCTGTTGCATAAGGCAAGCTTCATGTAAAATACAAGGCAAATATATATATAGGATTACATGTATATATTTTAACAAACAAACTTTAGAATGGAGGCTAGTATACCAGGAAACACAGATATGTTGCAGTATGTATCTACTCCTGAATAAAATTACCTTGGTAATTTGATACTGTACTATCTACCATTGTCTATAGCTACAATGCCATGATACATTTAAATAGCAGAATGCCGGACTTTCACCTGTTGCTGAAGGACTATACTGTTGTAATAATATAGAGGAAAACAGGGAGGGGCATAGACGAGTGGAAGGGGAACCACTGTGTTCATGGAACAACATCATGAAAAAAAATGACCTTGGATTTAGCAAATTCTTTTATCATACACAATGGCATAATCAGTACAACAAAATATGAACTGGATCTCATTAAACTTTAAAACTTTCTTGCATTTAAGCATATCAACAAAAAGAATTTGAAGATTATACAAAAAGGGGAACAATATTTGCCAATCATTTGCTTGATAAAGTTCTAGTACTCAGGAAACTTAACAAACTCTTAGAACTAAAAGGACAGGGAATTCAATTTTTAAAAGGCAGAAACCTT